GGCTTTTGGGGGAAATGGGGGACGGGGCCCCTTAATTCCCCCTTTTCCCCAAGAAATGGGGCAAGTTTTTTTTTTTTTTTTGGGGGGGTGGGGGTAAACTTAAAGGGCCCCCCCCCAAAAAGGGCCTTCGGGGGGAGGAAGGGAACCCCTGGGCAGGGTCCTTTTTTTTTTTTCCGGCCCCCCCCCCCCCCCCCCGCCTTAAGGACAAAGCACTGGTTTTTGGGGGGGTTTTCCCGCTCAGGTTTGACGGGGGAAAAGGGGAGTTTTTGGGGATAAACCAAATGTTCACTGGGCCTGCCCCGGGCCAGGCCCAAGGCAGGTGCTGGGGGGCAGGCCAAAACCCTCCCGGGGGCACAGAGCAGGCCCACCACCTTCTCCCAGGGGCCGGTGCGTTCCCCCCACCTCTCACCTGACAAAGCAGTGAGGAGCCCTGGGACCCCAGGACAGTCTGGGGAAACCAGTCAGGCCGAGAGGCGAGTGCTGCCCTGGAGCATGGGGTGGGGGGTGGGGGCTGCAGGGAGCCCGGGAGGCGGCAGGGCAGGGCCTCAGGGGCTAGACCAGTGGTTCCCAGCTTTCTGGCCACGTCCCCTAAGCATCTCTAACATCCTGATGCCCCCCCACCCCCCGTGACATAGAATTCTTCTTATTCAAAACGTGAGCTCCTATTCACACGAAGGAAGCCTAAAAGGCCATGAACTTGGTCTAAACAAGCTTCCAAGGAACACGGCATCCACGAAAGAGAAAAATAAAAGAACGAGAGGGCAGTGGAAGTCCTGAGGAAGACATCACTAGAAATTGTTAAAAAATAATATGAAGTGATATGAGAAAATAGCAAATAAAGTTTCAAAACATAATAGAGAACTGAAATCCATAAATATGTCGCAATCTATATTTATATGCTGTATAGGAGGCCCCTAGAACCATAAGAAATGCAAAAAGTTCACTGTTAATAACTCATCCTCGAATCGCCCCCCTTAAAAGTCAGACTGCCCCTGGGGGCGTGTGCCCACGTGGGAACCACTGGTCTAGAATGTGCTGAGTGGCCTCGTCCTGACCCCTTCCGAGCCCGGGGCTGAGGCCGTGTCTGAGACGCACCCACCCCACTCCTGAGCGGCTCTGGCAGCGAGCGCCCCCTCCCCCAGCCCCCCAGCCTCCTCTTGGCTGTCTTTCCCTCGGGGTGACGTACAGATGGTCTCATGCTATGGACAGACCTCTGGACACACATCTTTCACCCCCCCCCAACTAAATTCAACCCGAAAGCCCCTCACTCACAGGCCACAGGCCACAGCAGTGTGAGACTTGAGTCTTTTGAACCAATGGCCCAACAATGTGCAGAAGGAAACGGTCACACCAAACAAGCCACAGCCAGGAGCACCCGCTTCCTCCCTCGGCTGGACCAGGGCCTGTCAGCCATCAGACATTCCAGGCTCAGCCCCAGGCGAGGTGAGGGGGGGGGCATGGCCCTGCCTGGCAGAGGCTTCCCGCTCCCCAGCCCTCTGGGGGATGGGGGGGCCGAGAGCCAGGGCCACCTGGGAGCTGGGGGAAGACACCGGGAGAGCAGGGCCCAGGGCATGTGGGGCCTCAGGGGATGGAGACGCTGGGAGCGCTGGGCTCCTTCCCAGATCTGCCTCACCCGCTGCAGGGCCCTAAATCTTAGCAGGTCCAGCCAGACCCTCCACAAAATCCCTCTTACACGCAATCAAGCGAAGGAAACATGTCAGCAACTGCTTAGCACCGAACACAGCCCATTGGGAGCCTCCTGTTTACTCTCTAGCGGCACCGGAACCTCTGACCTGTGCCAGCGAGTTCGGTCCAGGCCACTAGGAGGCTGCGCCCACCCCCCCCCCCACCCCACCACACACACCCCCGGAGATGTGAGAGGCTTCGCTTCCTGTGTGAGGTCTTGCAGCAGGAACGGCCGCAAGGAGCATCAGTGATGCAGGGCGGGTTGTGACCACTGAGATGCGTGTGTACACACACACACACACAGACACACACACACAGACACACACACAGACACACACACAGACACACACACACAGAGACACGCACACACACAGACACACACACACACAGACACACAGACACAGACACGGATATAGAAACATTAAAATACTTTAATTCTCTTTACACGGCCACAGGCCTTCCCGCTGGGCGGACCTCGGTGGGCGCTTCTCTTGGGCTTTCAGGTGAAGGCGTGGTGACTACAGGCGGTGAATGCAGGTTGGTCACGTACAGGTAGTCGCAGCCGTCAGCACAGCCCGCACGCAGGGGTGAGCTCGCCGCCTCTCCAACGGGCACAGCCTCAGCCCGAGGCAGCTGGTGCCAGGGGCTAAAAGCCTCTGGTATGAGCCGTGTCTTACCCTTGTTCTGATTTTATAAAACACGGTTACATATGTACATACAGCACAACAAAGTGCCTAGCGTGCACTCTAACATAGAGCACCGAGCCCACTGCGGAGCACTGCCCCGTCGGCCCCATGGGCAAGGGCGGGGTAAACACCTGCACGGAGGTCAGATGCAGGAAGGTGTGGAGCCGCCAGCACCCTTCCCGCGGGACCCCAACACGAGGACTGGCTGTTGTCCCCTGGGGGGCGGAAGCGACAGAAGCCAGGTCTTTATCTGGGGGCACAGCTGTCAGACCACCTGGTACTGAGACAGCGATGGCTACTCAGAGATTCTCCAGAAACCACCGTGAAGGCCAGCCTGGCTCATGGCCCTGGGCGAGGGGTCCCCAGGCGAGGGGTCCTCAGGCGAGGAGTCCCCAGGCGAGGGGTCCCCAGGCCAGGGGTCCCAGGCCAGGGGTCCCCAGACCAGGGGTCCCCAGGCCAGGAGTCCCAGGCCAGGGGTCCCCAGGCGAGGGGTCCCCAGGCCAGGAGTCCCAGGCGAGGGGTCCCCAGGCAAGGTGTCCCCAGATGAGAAGTTCCCAGGCGAGGAGTCCCAGGCGAGGGGTCCCCACACCAGGTGTCCCCAGGCCAGGAGTCCCCAGGCGAGGTGTCCCCAGATGAGAAGTTCCCAGGCCAGGAGTCCCCAGGCAAGGGGTCCCCAGGCGAGGGGTCCCCAGGCGAGGAGTCCCCAGGCGAGGTGTCCCCAGATGAGAAGTTCCCAGGCCAGGAGTCCCCAGGCGAGGGGTCCCCAGGCGAGGGGTCCCCAGGCCAGGAGTCCCCAGGCGAGGGATCCCCAGGCGAGGGGTCCTCAGGCCAGGAGTCTCCAGGTGAGGTCTGTGCTAAGGGGGCAGGGCTGGCTGGGGCTCAGGGCTGAGGCAGCATCTTTCAGACACACTGACACTCACGCGGGCACACGCCCCCGGGGACAGTGCTCTCCAACAACTGGTACAGAGACCTACTGGCACTCTCTTCTGACATCTGCGAGGGCGTCTTTGTAAAGCTTTCCTCCACGTGTCCACACTGTCGTCCCTGCTCTGCTCTGGCTTGACGCTCAGACGTGG